AGAATAGATAGATGAGAATAGATGATATAGTAGATAAATAGATAGATAGAATAGATAGATGATAGATAGATAGATAGATAGATAGATAGATAAAGATAGATAGATAGTTATCGATGAGTAGATAGGAGAGAGAGAGAGTAGATAGATAGATAGATAGACAGATTAGAATAGATTGTAGCCGCGATGTTGAGAACGACCCGGGGGTATCATATAGGTGTTCACACCGTGAGCCATTAACTATGACCGCGTGCCGTCCACATGATAGCGGCTCTCGCACCCACGCACTCCACGCACACACACACATCCACACCAGCACACACAGCCACACACACACACACACCCAAACAGCACACACCACGCACAGGCACCACCACGCAACGCGCACGACACGCACGCACGCGCAAAGCACACTCACGACGCACGCACACGCACAAACACACCTATGCACCCAGCGACGCACGCACGCACCCACACATTCACGCAGCCACAACGCAACACGACGCACAACACGGCACGCGCTGCAACACTACCACCACCACACGCACGCACACACAGCCGCACCCCACACCTACAACACACACACACACACACATGCACACACCTACACCACACACCACACACACCGGATGCGATCACCGTCATGACGTAAGAACGGTAGGTGGAGTGCGAAGCTGTAGCAGCGCGAGGCGATATGAGAGGGATGAGAGAGAGTAGAGAACGAGAAAGAGAAAGAGAGAGAGAGAGAGAGAGAGACGAGAGAGAGAGAGAGAGAGTTGCTGAGAGAGAATGAGAGAGAGTGAGCAAGTGCGAGAGAAGAGAGAGGAAAGGAGAATGAGACGATGCAGAGAAAGAGAGAGAGAGAGAGAGAGAGCGAGAGAGAGAGAGTAGAGAGAGAGAGAGTATATGAGAGAGAGAGGTGAGAGAGCTGCGAGAAATGGAGAGAGAGGAGATAAGAGAGAGAGAGAGAGAGCAGAGAGAGAGAGAGAGAGGAGAGATCAGATAAGAGCAGGAGAGGAGACGAGAGAGAGAGAGAGAGAGAGACACACCACAATTGCACAACAGCACACTTACAGAAAGGTTAAAACGCTTTCGGATTACGATACTTTCTTTGCCCTGGAGATGCGCTAGGGTCGAGCTGCGGGGGAGCTCGTTCTGAATCGGCTGCGGGTGCTAGTGAGCCTAAGTACTGCCGCATAGTATTTAGTTTGTCCTTACTGCTCTTAGTTCGGTATATCACGGCCGCTAGCCGTCGGTAAGTTATATAGTTATACCAGTTAGTATTATATATATGATTATATATATATATTTATATATATACATAAATATAGTATATGTATCTGAATATTAGCTTAGATGTTCATTCGCAAAATATTGAGAGCTTGTAACCCTGGCGATTTCTACAGGGCCAAGTCGATACCGCGACACATACCGCTACATGGTTCTTGTATTATAGTGGTAGAGTTTTCTAATAGTCCTAATAAAGTTAACAAGTGAATATTAGCGTCTATAATAATAAGAGTATAATAAGGATAGTCTTGATATACGGTGTAGAGTAAGTATTATCATCGTGTTTATATAAACAGAGGAGTATTATAAACATCGCGGTTGAAAGCAACCATGAGACACACTGGTTAGCCGAAGAAAGAAACGGCGTAATGGACTCCGTTC